GAAATGGGGGTAATTTTGTAACACGAAACAAAATCTTGATTTGGCCGAAAATTCCACCTCTCAAATAATAAAAAAACAAGCGCACTGCCCTCCCCGCCACCCTGTTCCACGTCACTGCCCGTTATGCATGTGTCCCTATGTTGGTTTCTCGAGCCCTGGGTGCATTGGTCAAACCGAGTTACTGTGTCGCGAAAAGATGTTTGTCTGAAAGGTGATCATTTCAACCTGAAAAGTTTGGTAGCTCTGATGCATAGTAAATAGTAAATTTTACTAACTCTATTTAACGTGACCCACAAGACCATGATACAACATTAAAATAGACCCACACGATGACGAAAAAGAACTATATCCACACGACCATGAAACATAATCCAATTACACCCACACGACCATCAAACACAATCCAACTAGACTCACACGATCACGAAAGAAACTAGACCCACACGACCATCAAACATAAACTAGACCCGCACGACCATGAAACATAAACTAGACCCACACGACCATCAAACATAAACTAGACCCACACGACCATCAAACATAAACTAGACCCACACGACCATTAAACATAAACTAGACCCACACGACCATCAAACATAAACTAGACCCACACGACCATCAAACATAAACTAGACCCGCACGACCATCAAACATAAACTAGACCCACACGACCATCAAACATAAACTAGACCCACACGACCATCAAACATAAACTAGACCCACACGACCATCAAACATAAACTAGACCCACACGACCATGAAACATAAACTAGACCCACACGACCATGAAACATAAACTAGACCCACACGACCATCAAACATAAACTAGACCCACACGACCATCAAACATAAACTAGACCCACACGACTATGAAATAAAACCAAAATTAGACAACATAAGCCACTAGATAAACGAAATAATCATATGCTACTTATAGCTCGCCCAACATTGGCGACAGCAATGTGTAAACTTCCCATCTTCTAAAATTACTTGACAAAACATGAACTCAAGTAACGCACATTTTAGCCACATCCCTTCCCTCAATGATACGTCACTGCACACTTTTTATTTCACGCCCATTAATTATATTAATATTCTGATGTCCCAACCACTTTTAAACCGAATCTCTATTACACCATACTTAATTTATAACGGTTTCATCTTCCGAAAAGAAAATACCGCGCACCGAACACAGTTGCGTTATTTAAAAAAAAAAATCATTTAACGTAATTATCGTGAATTATATTTTGCACGCTATTGAACTCATTTTTGAACCATGCTTTCTTTCAAACATTTAGAATTATTTGTAATATACTCTCAATACCAAATACGCTGATTAGGAAGCAGTCCATTAGGAAGCAGTCAACGAGTCATACCAGAAGCGTAGTATATATAAGAGATAATCTCAGTGCAAAATACGCTGAATAGGAAGCAGCCATCTTGTTAGGAAGCAGCCATCTTGTTAGGAAGCAGCCATCTTGTTAGGAAGCAGCCGGAAATGGAAGCAGTCACACCAGAAGCCTAAGATATGTAAGAGACTACTAGCAAAACTAATAACAAAACCAGTTTTAAAACTTTCAGTTCATAACTTCGGTCTGATAAAAGTGTTTAGTTACACATGCTAATGAAACGTGCAAGGTTTTAATCCAATATTATGTGACTATCAGATTCTCCATTCATAAGACGCTTGTCAATTAAGTTGTTGAAACAGTCAGATCAGAATATGCCAGTAACACCTACGTCCAAGCCATTGATATTTTTTTAAACAGTTTATTTCTCAATCAAATGTACACGTTTATTTACAATGTCATAAGATGTGACGATGGTGGATTCCCCCGACGAACGTTTTCACTCATGTTTGGAACATTAAAAAAAATATATATATTATTATTTTATACGGTAAGTACCACGGGTCATTGACATTGTCAGTGTCGCTGGAGTTTTGGAGCATCACCCCCCAACCACCCCCCCCCCAAAAAAAACAACAACAACAACAACAAAACAACAACAAACAAACAAAAAAACAACAACAAACAAAAAAACGACAACAAATGCATGCCACGTTTCCATTGTCTAACTTTTGCACAACAAAATGTCTTCTTTTTCCACATCTTTACTCTACCGCAGGCCTGCACAACTTCAAAATGTAAGGCGGGCCGTAATACTTTATGAAAAACTTGTGCGGGCCAAAAGAAAACGGGACAGTACTTGTGCGGGCCAAACGAAAATAAGACAAGGGGGAAAGCTATTAAGAAAATAATAAGAATAAAGAATATTTTGTTCCTTCGCGGGCCGCAAAGTGGGTGCTGGCGGGCCGTATGTTGAGCAGGTCTGCTCTACCGTGTTGACACCCCTGCTCTCCGGGTTTCAGGAAAGTCTCTCTGTTACCCTTAGCAAACAAAGATGGTTTTAATTTGGGTTATGAGAGTATAATGTACACTTTCAAAAAAATAATTAGATAAATAATAACATCAGTCAATACACAGACGGGTAGTTTCACGTTGAAGTTACTCTGCGATGTCTGATTCCTATTCACCACGTGAGGGTCACGTGGCAAGATTAAAATATCAGTTTCATTCGCACGTTCTCGCGCGACCACTCCACCCCCTCCCCCTTTCCATGCGTTAGCTACACACTATAATTAATTGGCAGAGGAATACGGATGCCAGAATTACATATCGCTTGCACATGTTTGATGCGCCTGAGTATAGAAAACTGTAGATTCAGATAGCGCCGATTCCTACCTCTGTGGCAGAACGTAACGATCATTGAAAGTAAAATATTTATTTTGACTAAATGAACTAATTCTAATGGCACCTGTATATTATTTAGTATCAGAACTCGTTTAAAATTAAATTAGAAATGTTATTAGGTCGGCGGTTCTCAACCTGTCGGTCGAGACCTCTTTAGGGGTCGAACGACCTTTATACAGGGGTTGCCTACAGAGCCGTTCTTGGGAGTTTGGGGGCCCTAAGCATGGAGCGTAGTTTGGGGGCCCCGGAAGAGGGGGGTGTCCGGGGGTGGAGCTCCCTCGAGCTGAGGAGAAAACACCACCCACCACTGCGGCACCTCCATTCTGCCTTCATCAATGTTTCCTCTTTGCTCGCGTGTAACCACTAACCATATTGATAATTCCGCCACTAGAGAAAATGTGTACTTCTGAAATATATGGACATGCAGGTGGTAGTGG